CGCGGTGCAATCTAGGCGGTGCAACGTATGCTATGCAACCTAGGTAGCGCAAGACACGCGGTGCAGTTCATGCAACGCACAGCGACGCCAAGCAACGCTAAGCAATGCAAAGCAGCGCAAACCAAAGCACAAAATGGCCTAGAGCTGGCCCCGGGCACCCAAGATGTGGCCTGGGAATTGTGTTCTGGGAACACGAAGAACACAAAGTGGCCTACAGTTGGCTCCGGGCACTCACGATGTGGCCTGGGAATGGTGTTCTGGCAAGATGCATCGTGATTCCGGACAAGAGTTTCGCACTTCCCAACGTTATGATTTTTTGTGTCCTAGCCTGGCTAGGACGAAACGAAAATGAAAGCCACGAAGTGCGATAGGGTTGCAACTTTCCAACGTTACGAATGCCGTTTTTGAGCTCTGGTGCAAGACTTCCGCACAAAACGGCGCCGTTCGTAACGTTAGAAATGCTTAAATAAGAATATTCAAGTATTCTTTATTCAAGAAGCTTCAACGTTACGAACGGCGTCGTTTTTGTGAGGAAGTCCTGCACCAGAGCTCCAAAAAGGCATTCATAACGTTGGAAAGTTGCAACCCTATCGCACTTCGTGGCTTTCATGTTCGTTTCGTCCTAGCCAGGCTAGGACACAAAAAATCATAACGTTGACAAGTGTGAAACTCTTACCCGGAATCACGATGCATCTTGCCAGAACACCATTCCCAGGCCACATCGTGAGTGCCCGGAGCCAACTGTAGGCCACTTTGTGCTCTTCGCGTTCCCAGAACACCACTCCCAGGCCACATCTTGGATGCCCGGAGCCAACTCTAGGCCATTTTGTGATTTGCTTTGCGTTGCTTTGCATTGCTGAGACCCCTGAGACCTGCGACACCTGTCGGTCCTGTGGGACCTGCGAGACTTGCGAAACTGGTGGGACCTGTGGGACCTACGACACCCGAGGAGCTTGCAACACCTGTGGGACCTGGGGGACCCCTGTGGCCTGTGGGACCCGTGGGACCTGCAAAACCTGTGGGACCGGTGGGACCCGCAACACATGTGGGACCTGCGGAACCACTGGGGCTTGTCGGACCTGCGACACCCGTGGGACCTGGGGGTCGTCTGTGGTCCGTGGAACCCTGTGGGACGCCTGAGAGCCAGCCGAAGCAACGCGTGAATGCGGCAAGCATTTGAGGGTGGCAGAAGCGAAGTGTGTCGGGAAATGTGCGAGCTTAGCGTAGTCTTGGGGCCCGTAACAGCGTAGTCTTGGGGCCCGTAACAAAATGGCAGCCGTGGATGTAAAAAATTAACGCGAAACCCATCCGTAACATTGAATTCCGCAATTCAAAGATATGGAACGCAAGCTAGGCATGAACGGCCCCAGGTTGAAAAAAGTGATTCCGCGTTTCGCGTTTATTGTTTACATTTTCGCGGGCAGCTGCCGATCTTGCCCTACCTGGAACTCGCGGCCTTTGAATGGCGAAATCCAATGTTATGAATAGTTTTCGCGTTTATTGTTTACATCCACGGTAGTGCCTTATGGGTGGAGTTGTATGGACGGTGGTTGATGGCGACTCCCGTGTTGCGACGTTATCGTTATTGGCCAGGTGTGGTATGAGTAATTCTCTATGGTTGGTGTGTTATGGCGTTTAAGTTGTTGCAAGTGTTTGCCCTGGTGTGCATTGAGGCTACTAGGAGACACTGGTTGGGGTACACGCTGGCAATCACCGTGTTCACACCTTGATCAATATTCCAATAGGCCAGCAGATGCGGCGTGGCCAACGTCAGTCTTTCCCGGAACAGCTTGTCCGTAAGGCTTCAGGGCAGTGCCCCCTTAGGCATGTGCGAGCTCCTCCGGATGAGGAATCGGCGGCTCGCGGCCCGTGATCTTCTTGGTGGTCCCCAAACGTGGTGGTGAGAACACCCGGTGGTGAGTTTGGGGCGATTTGGGTAAAATGGTTTTCGAGCGTTGGCTGGCCCAGGAAGCGCAAAACCTCGTGGCGACCGCGTGTCCCCAAACCCGGTGGTGACCCAGAATTACTTTTTGGGGGAATCGGGGTCACCACTGGGTGTCTCACCACCTGGTTTGGAGACCACCCACGTGATCTTCAGCATGCTCTCCCGTATGGTGTCCCGCATGGTCTGCCGTACGGCCTCCCGCACGGTCGGCCGTGTGGCCTCCTGGCTGGCCTCTCCCGTCGGGTCCCCCGCATGGTCTCCCGTATGTTATATCCGTAAGGGCTTCGCCCCCTTTTGCCGCCGAGCCACCTCTCTCGGAGAATGGTTTCTGCGAGAGCACTTACTCCAGATCTCGTAATAAAAGGGAGGGGGTCTGGACCCTCCAAGACAAGCCATTTCAGAGCCCCCCCCCGTGAGAGAACCCTCCAAAACATTGTCCCCAGACCCCCCCAGGCCCTCCAAGATAGCCTGGAAGAGACCCCCCCCGAAATGTGACCCCCCTCCCTTTATTACGAAATCTGGAGTACCCATAGTTGCCAATAGCCTCTACCGGTGATGACGACGACGACAAGCAAGATGATGCTGACGACGGTCATGGTGACGATGCTGATGAAGATCATGCCTATGCCGGTCGTTTGGTATCTAATGGCCTTCGGACTTTTTCGCCATCTCCGATTCGGAGCGCTCCCAGGGGCCTCCACAGGCGAGTTCTGTGGTCGCGCAGTTTGTATGGGACCTTCATGAGAGCCTCTTCGGGCTTTCTTAGCGCATTCTCGAGCTGCCTGGGGGGCTGTTCGGGCTTCTTCGGGGCATCTTGAAACCACTTCAGCCCTTTCAATACGTCCAACGCGCGATGACTCGACATGTCCGTGCGGGTCCCCTGTCTGGAGTCCTTCTTGGAGCTGTCTGGCGCACCCCTTGGGGGGTTCTGGCCTCCAGAACGCAAGCCTGGAGCACTTTACGAGGGATTCGGGCTTCGGGAGCGCGAATCTTGCGCGATGTACACAGGATTCTGGTTTCGGAGAGGCGAATCTGACGTCATTTAAAATTTCTGGCCTCCAGAGTGGAATGTTGCATCATTTACTCTGGATTCTGGCCTCTGGGGCGCAATTCAGCGCGCGATTTTGCTGTATTTGTTCGTGTCCCACTGCCCCGCAGGAATTCAGACAACGCGTTTCGGGCGTGGTGACCAGGCCGTTTTTCGGCTCCCCCCCTCGCGCGGACTTTAACAAATTCAACCATTTAGATAATTCACTGCGTGGAGCTCCCCATATGTGCATCTATTTGCATGGACTGGGTGTGAGTGAGTCTGAGTGTGAGTATGATGAATACGAGTCTGAGCACAAGTGAGTCTGGGACATCCTCGCAATCTGCCCCACCTGGGGTGCGCATGCCAGTGAGTCTGAGTATGAGTATAGTGAGTACGAGTCTAAGTCTGAATGGGTCTGAGTACGAGTGAGTTTGACTACGAGTGAATCTGAGGGTGGGTGGGTCCGAGTGTGAGTGATTCTGAGTGTGAGTAAATCTGAATGTGAGTGCGTCTGAGTATGACTATGATGGATATGAAGCTGGCCCTGAGTGGGTCTGAGTACGACTGAGTCTGACTACGAATGAGTCTGAGGGTGGGTGGGTCTAGGTGTGAGTGAGTCTGAGTGTGCGTAAGTCGTGAGGGAGTCTGAGTATGAGTATGATGAGTGCGAGTCTGAGTATGAGCGAGCCCGAGCACGAATGAGTTTGAGCATAAGTGAGTCTAGGACATACTCACAATCTGGGCCCTCTGGGGGAAAACAGCGCCTCGCCATAGACATCCTCAGAATCTGTTTTGACAGCAGACGGGTCTGACCACCAAAAGACGCAAACCGCTTGAGACATCCTCGAAATCCGGCCCCCCTTAGCAGTGCGAAAACCAGCGCCTCGCCTGAGACATCCTCAGAATCTGCTCCGACAGCGGAGGATGTTGAGGACCAAAACAGGCAACCCGCTGAGACATCCCCGCCATGTGGGCGCGAACGGAGGCCGTGCAATACCCCTGGCGGCCCCCCCTTAGCAGTGCGAAAACCAGCGCCTCGCCTGAGACATCCTCAGAATCTGCTCCGACAGCGGAGGATGTTGAGGACCAAAACAGGCAACCCGCTGAGACATCCCCGCCATGTGGGCGCGAACGGAGGCCGTGCAATACCCCTGGCGGCCCCCCCTTAGCAGTGCGAAAACCAGCGCCTCGCCTGAGACATCCTCAGAATCTGCTCCGACAGCGGAGGATGTTGAGGACCAAAACAGGCAACCCGCTGAGACATCCCCGCCATGTGGGCGCGAACGGAGGCCGTGCAATACCCCTGGCGGCCCCCCCTTAGCAGTGCGAAAACCAGCGCCTCGCCTGAGACATCCTCAAAATCTGCTCCGAAAGCGGAGGATGTTGCGGACCAAAACAGGCAAACCGTTTGAGACATCCCCACCATTTGGGCGCGAACGGAGGCCGTGCAATACCCTTGGCGGCCCCCCTTAGGAGTGCTAAAACCAGCAAACCGCTCGAGACATCCTCATCATCTGCTCATCGTCGTCATCATCATACTCATCCATCATTTACCATCACCATCAGACTCACATCATTCTCTCACCATACAATGGTCATCATCATGACAATCATCATCATTGTCTAGTGCAGAGAGGGAGGAGGTGGTATGGGTGGTCCGGCGCGGTCGGAGAATATCAAGAACCCCATCACTTGGATATGGGGAAATAGGAAGCAGAACGTAGAACTATCACAATGGAAATTGGAAATGGAGCAGGAAGCAGCAAGCCTAAGCCTCGCAGCCTGATGGCCCTGCAATGGGGCCGGCGGATCCCGCATGTTCTCCGTATGGTATCCCACATGGTTTCCCATATGGTTTTTTGTATCTTCGTCCGTCTGGTATCCCGCATGTTTTCCCAAATGTTCTCCCTTATGCAATCCCGTGAGCCTTACAGTATGATGACCCTTATGGGATCCCGCATGTTCTCCCGTACGGATTCCCGTATGTTCTTCCGTATGGATTCCCGTATAAAAGGCGGTCGCCCCAGCCGGCAATTTGTATTCGAGAGTATGCCCCCGTCAACGTGCAAGGTGTATATTCCGTTGTCATTCGGGCTCCAGCTGGCCCAGTGCGACCGCCACAGGCGCCGCGCGCTGCTGCGCCACCCCGGCTTGCGCAGCGCGGGATGGCGCTCCTGAGCGAGTCGCAGAGGAGGGTGCTGCGCAGCGTTTGCGAGGCCTTCTGCCCCAGCCTCTCCGACGACGAGGCCAAGCGGGTGCTCCAGGAGGTCGAGGATGCCGCCCGGAGCGCAGGACAGCCCGCGAGCCCAGAGCGGCTCGCCTCCGTCGCGGCTTGGTGCAGCTGCTCCGCGGACGAGCTGCGGCTGGCGGACGCCATCGAGGCGTCCCTCGCGCGGAACGTGAAGCCAGCCAATCAGCAGCAGATGCGCCGGCTGCTCGACTTGCTGGGCACCTCGCTGGGCACTCTCCTCCTGTGCGGCCGCCTGCGGCCCTTCGCGGACATGGCCCGGGGCGAGCGGGAGGAGTGCTTGAGTGGGCTCCAGAGGAGCGTGCTCTTTTTCCGTCGAGCGGCCTTCCGGGCGCTGAAAACGCTCACGACAGGCCATTTCGTCAACGTCGCCAGACCCGAGGGCGGCCCGAACCCAGCATGGGCGGCGATGGGCTACCCGGCTCCCGCGCCCGCGGAGCAGGTGGCCGAGGAGGCGAGGGCGGCGGGATGGGACGAGTACGTCTTCCAGATGATCAACTCTGGTGTCACCAGCGACGTTGAGCTGGAGGTGGACGCCGTGATCGTGGGCTCTGGTTGCGGCGGCGCCGTCGCGGCGGCGCGCCTGGCAGACGGTAACTCCGTGCTGGTGCTGGACAAGGGCACCTATTTCCCGCGGTCCGACATGGACGGTACCGAGCTCTCGGGCTTCAGCCACATGTACGAGCAAGGCGCGCTGCTGGAGACTGAGGACCAGAACGTGGTGGTCCTGGCCGGGGCGACCTTCGGCGGCGGCAGTTCCATCAACTGGGCCTGCTGCCTCCGAACCCCGGACTTTGTGCGCGAGGAGTGGGCGTCGGCGCACGGCCTGGCGCGCTTCGGGCCCAGCAGCGCGATCTTCGACGCCGCTTGCGAGGCCGTGTGCAAGCGGATCGGCGTGAGGGAGGGGGACGACGTGGCGCACAATGTGGGGAACTCTCTGATGATCGACGGGTGCAGGGCGTGCGGTTACTCCGTCAGGGTCACGGGCCAAAACATGAAGTCCACCGCTCCCGACGCGCCCGGCGCGGGAAATATCAGCATCGGGGACAGGCATGGCATCAAGAATTCGATGCCAGAGACTTTCCTTCAAGACGCGGCCAAGCTTGGCTGCAGATTCGCAGATCGCTGCCACGTCGAGAGGGTACTGCACTCCGCTGGAAGGGCAAGTGGAGTAGTTGGAACCATTGTGGGCAAGGACGGCACGAGTCACAGTATCACCGTCCGCGCCCGCAGGGCGGTGATCGTCTCGTGCGGATCCATCCACACGCCGGCGCTGCTGCTGCGGTCGGGCCTGCCGAACCGCAATGGGCTCATCGGCAAGAACCTCCGGCTGCACCCCGTCGTCGCGGTCGTTGGCCTGATGCCGGAGCCCGTGGAGGCCTGGCGCGGGGCGCCCATGACCACCGTCAGCGACGAGGCGGCCGCGGGCACCGACGGAAGCACCTACGGGATCAAGCTCGAGGTCCCGTCCATGCACCCAGGCTTGGCCGCGGCACTCATGCCCTGGTTCGGCGCCGCCCAGTTCAGGGCGATCATGCTGAAGGTCGCGCGCGCCTTCCCGACGATCGCGCTCTGCCGCGACAGGGGCAGCGGAGAGGTGCGCATCGACGGGAGCGGCAGCCCCCAGCTTCACTACCCAGTGGCGCAGCACGACCGGGAGCAGCTCGCGCGGGGCGCGGAGATGCTGGCGCGGATCGCGGCTGGCGCCGGGGCCGAGAGCATCGCCGCCGGCCCCCTCATCACGGACGGCTTCTACGGCCTTCCCCGCTTCGCGCCCGCAGGCGCGCCGGAGGAGGAGCGCCGCCGTTCCGAGCTCGAGCGGGCCGAGGCGCTGGAGCACTTCTGCGGCCTGATCCGCCAGCGGGGCATCCAGACAGACGGCAGGGGCACGATCTTCTCCGCTCACCAGATGGGCACGGCGAAGATGAGCGCCTCCCCCGACAAGGGCGTCTGCAAGGAGACGGGCGAGGTGTGGGAGGTGAACGGCCTCTACGTGATCGACGCCAGCCTGTTCCCCACTCCCTCGGGCTCCAACCCGATGCTCACGACGCTGACCCTAGCGTACGACATAGCGGGCAGGTTGCGCGACTCCCTTCGGCAGGAAGGCTCCAGCTCCCCGGTTGCACCGAGGAGCAGACTGTGAGAGGGCAGCGCGTCGTGATGGAGGGAGGAGGGAGTCGAAAGGTGGGAGGGTGGGGAGGGGTGGGGAGGAGGGAGGGAGTTGTCGGCATTCTGGCGTTGCGCCATCGATTGAACCTGTCGTGGTGGTAGGCGACCAGCACGCCTTGTGTCCTGTGGCCCTAGCTTTGAATGCCACAGGCAAGCAGCAGCAATCACAGAAATTCCAAAACCTGTAAAAAATGATGACTCTCCCCCTCCCCCCCCGGATCCCGACTGCCATAATTCGCCGCCGATTAACTATTTGTTGAACCGTCCCCCCTGGAAAATATTCCACGGGGGCCGAACGATGTGATTGATAAATGCACACATGTATGTTCGTATACGTATGTGCGTATACACACGCACGCACGCACATGCATTGGCATATGCGCATGAACTGTATACGTGCAGATGTGCAGGCTACTTCGGTCGACGAGTCGGTAGTTTTCGTCTTACTGGGACACTGTACGTACGTACATGCGCGACTGCTCGCGCGTGCGCGCGGTGGCGTCCAATTCTCGCGCGCGGTGACTGGCCTTATGTTGGCTCCGGGATCCCAAATTTACAATTGGTGTTTCTCTCACGGTTTCGGGGGTGACACGTGTCGTCCGTTGTTTTTATGAAGTTGAATGGCCTTATGTTTGCACCCAGAATCTCAGAGTTACACGTGGTTTGTCTCAGACGGTTTCGTGGGAAAAACGTGTTCCTGTTGGTTTTTGTGAGGCTGAATGGCCTACGCTGGCTTCCAGAACCACAAACTTGCAGTTGGTCGTTCTCACACGGTTTCGGGGGTGGCACGTGTCGTTCGTTGTTGTTGCGCGGCTGTATGGCCTTACGTTGGTTCCTGGAATCCCAAATCTATATTTGTTTTTCTCACTCGGTTTCGGGGGTGACACATGTCACCCGCTGCTTTTGTGATTTTGAACGGCCTTATGTTGGCTCCCAGAACCCCAAATTCACAATTGATTTTTTTACATTTCGGGGGTGAGTCGTGTCGCCCGTTGTTTTGTGAAGCTGAGTGGCCTTATGTTGGCTCCCAGAATCTCAGATTTACATCTGGTTATTCTCACGCGGTTTCGGGGGTGGTGCGTGACGCTCGTTATTGTTGCGCGGCTGAATGGCCTAATGTTGGCCCGCGGAATCCTACATCTACCATTGTTTTCCCCACGCGGTTTCGGGGGAGACACGTGTCACCCGCTGTTTCTTGCGAAGCTGAACGGCCTTACGCTGGCTCCCAGAATCCTGAATATGCAATTGGTTTTCGTTACGCGATTTTGGGGGTGACATGTGCCACCCGTTGTTTTCGTGAAGCTGAACGGCCTTGTGTTAGCTCACAGAATCCTGAGTTTACAAGTGGTTTTTATCACGGTTTCGGGGGTGACACGTGTCACCGGGTGTTTTTGTGAGGCTGAACGGCCCTACGCTGGCACTCAGAATCCCAAAGTTACACGTGGTTTTTCTTAGACGGTGTCGGGGGGAGCGCGTGTCGCACGCTGTTTTTTGTGAGGCCGAATGACCTTACGCTGGTTTCCAGAATCCTAGATATATGATTGGTTTTCCTCACGCAGCTTCCGGGGGTGACACTTGCCACCTCTTGTTTTGGCATGAAGCTGAATGGCCTGATGCTGGCTCCCAGAACGACATATTTACAAATGGTTTTTCTCAAGCGGTTTCGGGGGTGACACGTGTCACCCGTTGTTCCCCAATCGGAGCTTGCCTCTGTAGGGGTCCTAGCGGATTCATATGGTTAGGTTAGGTTTGCCGCCGATTTTCGCTGCACGCCCGGGGGCCCGGGGGTGCCCGGGTGCCTGGGGGGGTCCGGGTGCCCGGGGGTGCCCTACAGCCCTATAGCCCTATAGCCATACAGCCCTAAAAAGATGATGATTGGGTTTTTTCTCCGGTATCATTTTTTGTGAGGCTGAATGGCCGTATGTTGGCCCCCAAAATCCTAAATTTACATTTGTTTTTTCGCACACGGTTTCGGAGGTGACAAGTGTCACCGCTTGTTTTTGTGAGATTGAATGGTTTTCTGTTGGCTCCGAGAACTCCAAATTTACGAATTGCTTTTTCTCACGTGATTTCGGGGGTGACACGTGTCACCCGCTGTTTTTTTGTGAGGCTGAATGGCCTTATGTTGGCCCCCAGAACCCCAAATTTCAAATGATTTTTCTACCACGGTTTCGGGGGAGAAAAGTGTCACCGGTTGTTTTTGTAAGGCCGAGTAACCTTACGGTGGCACCCAGAATCCGAAATTCAAATTTGTGTTTTCTCACGCGGTTTCGGGGGGGCGCGTGTCCCCCAGTGTTTTTGTGCCATTGAATGGCCCTATGTTGGCCCCACTAATCCAAATTTTCAATGTTTTTCCTCACACGGTTCTGGGGGTGACACGTGTCACCCGCTGTTTTTGTGAGGCTGAATGGCTTTATGCTGGCACCCGGAATCCCAGATTTACAATTGATTTTCTCACGCAGTTTCGGGGGTGACACGTGTCGCCCTGTGTTTTTCTGCGGTTGAATGGCTTGATGTTGGCTCCCAGAATCCAGAATTTTCGCTTGTATTTTCTTTCGCGGTTTCGGGGGTGACATGTGTCCCCCGTTGTTTTTGTAATGTTGAATGGCGTTTTGATTGTTGGTTCCCAGAACCCTGAAGTTCCAATTTGTTGTTCTCAGGGTTTCGGGAGTAACACGTGTCACCCGTGGTTCGTGTGAGGTTGAATGGCCTTAAGTTGGCTCCCAAAATCCCAAACTTACAATTGGTTATTCTCACGCGGTTTTGGGGGTGACACGTGTCGTTCGTTGTTTTTGCGCGGCTGTATGGCCTTTTGCTGGCTCCTGGTATCCAAAATTTATAATAATTGTTTTTGTTTCTCACACGGTTTCGGGAGGTGACACGTGTCACCCGCTGTTTTGCGGAAGGTTGAATTGCGTTTTGCTGGCTGCCAGAATCCCAAATTCACAGCTTGTTTTTCTCACGCGGTTTCGGAGGTGACGCGTGTCACCCGTTGGTTTTTTGTGAGGCTGAGTGGCCTTATGTTGCCTGGATCCCAGAATCCCAGGTTCGCAGGGCGTGACCGGCGTGGCCTGACGCCACGAGGGGGTGCGCAGGACTCCGCCTTTGCACGCGGAGCGCAAGGGCGGTCGCGGGAACGTCCCGGGCGGTCCAGTTTGCCCCGCCTTCCTGTTGTTTTCCACTTGCGCACTACAGCGCTGGGAATAACTATTTTTTCAGCTCCCCCACTGGATTTATGTTTTGAATCGTTTTTAGACATTATATGTGTTAGCCTGCTTACACTCATAGATGCAGTCGCCATCACGCGTGCCCCATCATATGTCGGGCTACTATCTGGTGGCGAGTTACTCGATTCGGCTACTCTCACTTGACCCTGGTCAGTAGTGCCGAGGTGGGACCCCTCGTCGTCGGGGGCCACGCCACGTTGAGCCAGGGGCGAAGGCAGCCGACCGTGGAGAGGCTGAGGTAGAGCGAGACTTGCCAGGGGCCGGCTCCGTCCAGGTCGAGTGAACAGCAGCAGGGGGACCACCGCAGCTCCCACAGCCTGGTCACGGAGCTCGCTGGCGCTGGGGACCTCGAGCAGCCAGTCGCTGGGCTCTGCGGGGTAGCGGTTGAACACCTGAAACCCCCAGGCGGCGTTCAGCCGCGTGGCCAGCAGTTTGCGATTGTGGAGCTGTCAGCGACGGGCTCGGCAGCAGAGTAAAAAGTCAATTAGCCACACGCGTAGAACGTTTGCCCCAGGCTCCCGAAGGTCGCGGGGCCAGTGGGCGGGAGGCGTGACGGCACCCAGCACGGCACCCAGGAAATGGATGGCCCTGCTTCACAATTCGGAGATGGATGCACATGGCCATCCGTTGGCGGCGGCGTCGTAGCGCATCACTCGCCTCGCGAGGGGGGCTTGAGGCAAGTGGGCGGGGCGGCGACGAGGTCGGGGCATCGCCCCGCCATGAGCAGACGCAGGCGCGCTTTTCGAGTCGGCTGCTAGGCAGAGTGACTGCGCTGGCGGACGGGGCAAAGTCAGGGCACACCTGTGCTGATGAAGCCGCGGCGCACGGGAGGGGGAGGGGGAAGGCCCGGCGCGGGCGGGAGGGGGAACGGAGGCCGGGCCCGCTCAGTGCGGAACCAGGCCGCGGCGGGGCAGCTCCGGGGCAACGGGGCGGCAGCCGCGGGGCAACCAGGGGCGGGCAGCAGCCAGGGGCGGCCGCGCGAGGCAGGGGGGGGCAGGCCCAGGCAGCGCCGGGGATGGGCAGCACAGAACGGCGGCTGAGCACCGAGATCGCACCGACTTTCCGGGCGACAGAGCAGCCAGAGAAGATTTCCTCGGGAGAGGGGCCGGGGGGCCGCTGGCAAGGGCCCAGCAGGCGAGCGAGCAGAAGCGCCGAGATCCGACGCACACACACACACACACACACAAACACACACACACACACACTAAATGGAACGAACTATCTCCTAAGTTTGCCGGTCTAAGTTGTGGGGCTCATGCATTTCATTGTCTTCAGTCCCCCCACATGATCCAACAATTAGAGCTGGATTCCGTTTGATGCCCAATTTCATTGGGGGTCCTATCCGATTCTGAAAGTTGACAAAATTGCGAATAAGTTTGATATTTCAGTGGCCACAACGTATAGGTAGACCTGTGATGTCCTTTTTGCTTTCCACGATTGTGGCCAAGCTGCCGCGGGACTGCCTCTGGGCCACTTTCACGGTAAATTCCACGGATCTCCTTAAATTCATTGAGTTCTCCATATCGGGGTCATGATGCGCGATTGGGGGTGTAATTTCTTCGCGCGCTAGGGGCCAGAATGACGTGAGCCCAGTGATAAAGTGTTTCAAAATGGGTCGTACATGTGTAGCCATACGTTTGACATAGTGGTGCGATACGCGTTTACACGCTTGCTGTAGGAGCGGCCAGATCTTGGCACGAAGCTGCTAATAAGTTTCACATCGGTGTACGATGAGATAAGTGTCTACTTGCCGCACACTTTTTACGTGGCAGCCATGTTCTGCGCTGCTAGATAGACCCACGCTCAAATATGTTCATAGCCAAACAACTTGGTTGTGTCCATCGCTGTCTCCCCGCACTTCACATTCGGACTTGCATGATGGCGCATACGAAGTATGAGTCCAGTTGGTGCAAGTGGCGTGCATACGTGTTTGAGATCTCAGAATGGGGGGAGTGTCCT